CACGTGCCCTATCTCTGCAACATGGGTCGCTACCTCCGACTTTGGGTTCAGCCTTCTTACCGCCAGCTGATGCTCATATATTCGCGTTTGTAGCTGCCGGCTGGCTTCTCCAATGTAGTTGCCCCTTCCACAACTGTATTGAAGTCGGTAGACAACGCCTGATTTTGCTTGTTTCGGTATAGGGTCTTTTGGCCGCATTACTTGTTGCCGGATTGTGGCGGCAGGCCTGTGGACCACTTCTATCCTGAGAGGCGCAAGTGATCTAGCCACGGTTCCAGGGATCCCTTTCAAGTACGGAATGCTCCGCCACGACCTCGGTGAGCAACTCTCCTCGGTCCGTGGTTTTGCTGGCCTGCTGCCACGATCCGGCAACAAGTAATGCGACCAAAAGACCCTATACAGAAACAAGAAAAATGAGGCCTTGTCTACCAACTTATGCACATTACCTCAATAATTCAATTAGTAGTGTGTCACTACGTGTCTAAACTCTCTTCTGCAGGTGTACCGCTAGTGTCCACGTAAGCGATTTAGAAATTCTGAACATGTTAGCATACAGTAAGGACGCAATGGGTAGTAGATATTTGCATAGCTAAACTGCACGTAGCGGATCTTGTTTTAAGGTAATTAAGCAAAAATTTCAAAAGGCCTTACTGACTTTCCTAGTAAGTAGCAACTCTGAGTCTACAAAACACGAAACCTGACGGCTACAAATTGACCTTTCACAAATACCTCCAGAATAATGATTTGCCGAACGGCTAGTCAAATATCACGATTTTTTAATTATTTTTGACTACAAGCTACGAACTTTCATTCCCCGTCAAACTGATTGCTATTTTAAGGGAATTCCATTAGTGTTGTAGCAAGAAACATTCGAGAGCAGTGAGCTGAGCTTTTTAACCGCGTTCTAAATTCCGTACTTTCCATCGTTCTGTTTTAGCTCTACTACTACAGCTCCTTAGATGAGGGATTTGAACGGGGTCAAACGTTGAATGAACCAGTAACGAGTTTCAAGCTGACCCGTCTTCGCCCGGAAACGATATA